CAAATACTTTGGTTTTTTTAAGTGCATGATTCACAGCAGTAAATATTTTTTTTTTGCATTTTGCTATATTTAGAAATGTGGCCTTTTTGATCTGTACATGTATACATTCAGGCAAGTAGATTTCTATGTTAAGTTCAAGAGCTTAATGATGAAGAAAAACTAATGGTCATACATAATAGGCTGTGCCTTATAAATGAGTAGCTTGCTTACACAAATAAAACATCAGATTCCCTATATGCTGTACGGGTTCTTTTCATTAGTAGTGACATACTGTCTCGGGTGGCATACTCTGAAAAATTCTGCTGCTTTGGAGAAACTGGATCAGTGGATTCCATTACAAGACCAAGGTAAAACTTACTGCTCCAGCTTGTTGCAACACAGTGGGACCTTTGTGAGGCAAGCTCAGATAATACTATTTGAAAACAGCTAGAATGGCCTTCAACTGATTCTGTTTTATCTTAGACTTTTTAATTCCTTAGTCAGTGCAGTTAGAGTGAGTAGACATAGATGTAACTCCCAGTTCTACTTGAGAAACAGAGGTCAATATGATACATGGAGATTACTTTGTGCATAGGGTTTCCTGAAAAGGTCTAATTTTGTCTCTATTCTGTGTGCTTCAAGTGGTGCCCTGTGTAATCCTGTGCTTTTACATTTACATGGTGTTATGAGTACAGTAAATATAATTTTTCTCAATATTTTTGTATAGATAGACATTCAACCTTTTTTGATCCCTTATGCTTGAGCTCTTGTAGATATCCTATATTTTGCTAAAATTTTTTTAATTGATTGGTTTCATCTAGGTTTAAAGAATGCTAAAAGAATGGAATTACCCTATTCTAAAAGCCAGTCTGAATGAAAAAAAAAAGCCTAAAAATCTGGCTGCATTGAGTAGAATAGATTTTTCTGCTTCATGCATCAACCTTTGATGTTTGTATGCAGGCTTTTTTTTTTAACCTGAAATAACTGGAAAGTGAGAGTCATGCTTGGAATGTCCATAGATGAAGCTAATCTAACAGTTTTTTCAAAGAAAACTGTCTTACAATAGCATTGTCATTAGCTAGGAACGGAGATTCATTGGAAGCAGCAGCTTACAGGTTTATGGGTTTTAATCAGTTAAGTGTTTTCCAATTAGAAATTCATTGTGCTTAATTTCTTAATTAACACAATGTGGCAGAACTTCATATATTAGTGTCAGAAGATGCTAAAATTGTGTATAATGACAACATAATTAATAATGCTTTTTCAAAAATACTGTCCATTTCCATAATTTCTCTCGTTGTCAAAATTTTACTGGATTTTAGTCAACTCCAGGTGACTGAATATATTACTCTACAGGAACTAAGAACACTGGGAATTGTAGCCTTTGAGAAGTTATTTGCTTTTGCTGTGATAATATACCATCAATTTAAGATTCTGAAAAATGTAAGAGGAAGGAAAATAACGTCTGTAATATTAACCCCAAAACATACAAAGTATTTCAACTGAAATTTAAACCAATGAGTAACCAACTCCTATGTGCAGTTTCTTGGTGCAACTAGCTTGGAATATATCATGCTTACATGGTGCATTTGAGGAGTCTGCAGATGTTTCTGTGGAGTAAAAGTTTTAGTTTTCTTCAATAGACTTGATTTTTGTGCTATATCAATGATACTGAAAATGCCACTGTACTACTGATGCCACAAAAATTCTATGTGAAATACAGTAAGAGCCTGTAGATGAATGGAGCAGAGGTGCCCACCAGAAAAGGGAAGACAGGTTCATCTACAGGCAGCAGTGAGATGAGAGACCCGAAAATGAGTTTGCTGATGAACTGAGTGGGAACATGGAAGGAGAGAAAGACATGCAGTTGGGTATATGCTTCCTGGAAACAGCAGAGCTGGGCATGTCAAGACACATGAGTAATATGTGTTACTTTAAGTTTGTGCCTGTAGATGAATGGAAAATGGTGGAAATGGTTCAGGTTGCTACACAACTTGACTATGGAAAAATATCACAGTCTAACCTTTGCCTTAAATGTTGAATTAGACCCATAACTGGTGGGAGACAATTAACTTCATGAAGAGCTATGCTAATTTGTATGATCTTACCTCTCACATTTGGAATGATTGTCCCAATTGCTTTGATACTTCGGCTACATTAGCTATTCTTAATTTTCCAGGAGACTTGTCTCTATCTACAGCTTATAATTTATACATATTTTTGGCCACATGTTTTAAATGTACATAGCCAAGATGAGAATTCCTAAGTTCAGGCTAACCCAAACCTTACCTTCTAAAGTTCTGAAAGTTTCTTTGGATATGTTACAACTGTATATTGTGATGTGTGTATGTGTAACCCTTAACATTATTCCCAGCTTCATTTGGATAATACAGACCCATTTCTATCAAGTCAGAAACAGACTGAGCTTTAAGGGAGCCCTGCCCCCACCCCATCCCCAAAATACCCCCAAACAAATAAGAAGGGCAGTTTTTACTGTTTAGAAAATTAACACGCTTCCAGAACCAATGGTTTGTACCAGTCTCTGGAAGAAAAAGGTTTGAAGCTCTGTATCTCCATGTGCTTCACTGAACCTCAGGAAGAAAAGAAGGTAGCTGTGAAGGCAGACCTTTCTTTGGCAGGGAAGTGACAGCTAGAGTATTGCCACCAAACTTTCATCTTATGCTTCTTCATCCTTGGCAGATGTCTAGGGAGCTTAGAATCTCCATAACATTGCAAAGTCTCCCTTAGTTGCCTCCATTTGAGATTTTTCTTTATACAGAGGGAAGGGAAGGAACAAAGCCTCTTTGGGCCAAAAAAAGTAGTAAGGGATGGAGCTTTTCTTTCACTTGGACTAACTGCAGTAGTTCCCCAGTCTATCTGATTTTCTCAGTCTCTTTGCATTAATGTGAAATACCAAGTGATGAAATTGGACAAAAATAATTTTGTAAAGCAATGCTCATGCAGTGTATTTTTTCATTAATTTTATTTTTAGTTTATACCAGACTTTTTAGAATGTAGCATAACCACAAATATTTTTTAAAAAAATGTGCTAACTTGTTCCTTGTAACAGACATTAATATTAGTTACCAGACTGAGATAGAGCAGAAGTTAACACTTGCTATTAAAAAACCCCCAAAAAACAAAACCAGAAGCTATTTAGCTATTCGTTATTCAGCGCTTCTGTTTCAATGGAGTATATGCAGGCAGAGGTTCTGACTGGCCCAATGATGCTGTCCTCTAGCGTCTGATTCTGCAAGGCACTGAGCACTGCAGACCTCCTGTCATCATGGCAGAAGTAAGAGTAGTCAGCCTGTTGTAGCATTTGGACCTTTCAACAATCAGCAGTGGTGTGAGGCAGAGGAAAATTTGATCTTGTATGGGAAGAGCTGGTTTATCTTTTAACTTACAAGGGGATTCATGTAACTCATTTTTGTATCTTTAAAAGCAAAGGTAAAGCAGAGCCTTGCTCAGTAGCTCAGCACTCACAGGAATATTAAATAAGGGAAGATTGACCCACCTTGTGTTTATCTACTAGCTATGTATGACTAAAAGTGTCCTTTACCATTCTGACCCCAACTTATAATGTGATGGACCACCATTATTGCAGCTCTCTGTAGCACTGGTTTAGAACAGAGGGTTTAGTTTGGTTTTAGTTAAAACTAAGTGCTCCCCCCCAACTGGGTTGCATGCTTTTCTGAAACCAGTTCTCGTCCTAGAGGAATTTCACATTGAAGCTATTGGATCAGAAAATCATGTGAACATTTTAAATATTTAAAAACAGTAATAAAAAAGTAATTTCCTTCTAAAACAAACACAACATTTGAAGCAGAATAATATTTTAATAAAATTAAATCTGAAGTATTCACAAAGCATTATGCACATACAGTACATACTGTATTTAAAGCCTACAGACCTTAAATAATTTTATTCTAATGTAGTCAGCTTTGGACACAAGCTAAGCTTACTTGTTTTGTAATAAAGTTTACAATTGTTCCTGAAAGTGATTTTACATATATACATATATATAGAGAGAGCTCTATATCTATACTCCTACAGGTTAGTGTAGGTATATACACACACTTACGTGTATGTGTGTATATAAATATATATACACATACACATACATACACAGCTCTGTACATATATAAAATACACACATGCACACACAGAGGAATGTGTGCATGGTGTGTGTGTGTGTGTGTTCATGTACAGATACACCCTATCTAGGATCATTACAGAGGGGCTGGTCAGTAAAAAGAGGTAACTGCAAACAGCCACCCTGATAAATATAAAACAAAAATGTGTAAAATATTTTTAAATTAAATAGATTGTTCATAATTTGCATTGAACAAAACGAACACAGTCTTCTGTATTATATAGAAATTAGGTTTATTGCATTTGATTATGTTTGTGAGACAGATGAAGAGTACCTCTCTGCTCATGACAGCAAACTTCTATGATGCAATTTTTAAAAAAACCCAAAAAACCCAAACCAAAGACATAGTGGAAACAAATTATTCAATTAATACAGTTTTGTGGATGTGACCTATGGTGATACTTTCCAGCATGTGGCAGTTTTCCTGTCTGTTAAACTACTGCCCTACTTCAACTGGTTCGAAAGGAGACTGGTTTCTCTGTCCTAATTGTTTCAAGCCCAGAAGACTTGGTTACCTTATTCTTTTCTCATTTTGATTTATTATAAAAAGCTCACTACAAGAAAGATAAATCAGTTTTCAAAAGTGAGCTAGAAGAGCATTTTCCTTGAATTTTATCTTGGTCAGGTAGGAGGTTTTCTATGTGAATTATTGTTATTGGTCTCCTATTTGCTCTGAAGACATATCCACATTAAAATGCTATTTCCATGACAGCAGTAAATGGTAATCTCCATGCAATGTAAACTGTAATTTCAGAACATGCATGTTATTTAAAAAAAATAAAAATATAAGGTGCCTTGAGAATGCTGGCAGTTTTAC